GGGAGAATTGCATTAAAGAGCCTTTGATAGCAGAAGGCAGTATTCTAAACGAACCTGCACTAAAAGCTGATTTAGCTTGTAGAGGCGAATGGGAGATCAGATGGAGGCATTGTTTGATGTTCGTGTCCTTGACACTGATGCTCCATCTTATGTCTCCATCCTTCATCAACAAGTTATAAAAAAAGCAGAAGATGAAAAAAAGAAAGTATACAAAAGCTTGCAAACATCGACATGAATGATTTACTCCATTTGTCACAAGTTTTGATGGAATCTTTGGTAATGAATTCCAAATGTTTTTAATGGTTATGGCTGAAAAATGGAAAGAAACCATACAGTTTGGTAATTAATTGGATACGATCAAGAACAATTGTGTAGTTTTAAGGGCAATAAGTATGTGTCTGCGACGACCTAGAAAGAAATGCCGTTTATTGAGGGAATTTGAAGATGGAGCTGGGATTCCAAAATTTGTTTGTGTAAAATTAATTGTTGAATTCTGATTGTACTCAACTCATTCTGATTGTAACTCTTTTGGATCGCCGGAATTTTATCCCCCTGGAATTTTACCCCCTGGGCAAAGCTGACGTCACTATGACGTAGTAACCTGAGCGCTCAAAAGTTTGTTCGCAAGTGGAATTTTACCCCCGCGGATTTGGAAGTCTAATGAAAATAGACAGAGATTTACAGAGATTTGTATAGACAGTGTACATTAATTAGATTAGCAATATAAACCGGAGTTTTGCTCCCTGTCCATATAACTAGCGTTTAGACAACTGAAGATGTATGGGCCGGATTTTTACCCCCGGAATTTTACCCCCCAGAATTTTACCCCCCAGAATTTTACCCCCGAATTTTTACCCCCTGGCCGGATATAGGAATTATTAAGAATGATTGATTTTCTTATCAATCATTCTTGATCAGACATAGCAGTTACCAAGACGTTGCTTTTGAACAGATCATCAGAGATATTTATAAAGATATTATCAATTGCCGATTTCGAGCCCTCAAACTCCCTAGTGTAGGTGATTGTGTGATTGTGTAGTGAACCCATAAGATGACATTAGGTTAACAAGATCTTTTTTTGAAGCTTTATCACTTAACACATCTATGTTGAAGTCACCAACAACTATAGTTTTTATAGGCTTTTTAAGAAGATCATCCAGACAATCATTCATGAGGTTTAGGAATTGCTCGCAATGGTAATCAGGAATTCTATAAATAGCTATGACCAGGAGGTCCCCGTCAGATTTCAACTGAAATTTAGCGGCTGACAACTGGCACATATGTTCATCACAAAACGAGGAAACATCTACATATTGAAACTTGAAACAATCATTCGCCAAAATGCATACTCCACCTTTCCGTCTAGTATTACGACAATAAGATGACACATTTGAATAACCAGGTAAAAGAAAGCTACTAAATTGATCCTCAGTAAGATTATGTTCTGACAGGCAGACGATATCAGGCATTTTACACTGGGTATGTATCTCTAGCAGAGACCCATTTGTTTTGACCCCACAAATTTTTTGATGAAAAATCCTTAGTGAATTGGCATTTGGCTCATCGTGATGGCTAGACAGTGTCACCTTGTCGGGGCTCGGCTGTTGGCCAGTCCTAAAAAATGCTTGGTGGGTTCCATCCTGGAGAAAACTCTAGTTTTATTCCCCGTCAGCGTCCCCTCAACATCTCTATGTCCTTCATCGTTGTCTGATTGAGGCGGTGTCTGTTTTTAACGTAGTCCACGTTTAACGTTGTCCAACTTCAACATCGTCCCCAATAAATACATAGTTTTATTTTTGGGAATTCTTTGCCCGGTTTGACTTCAGATTCTCTTTTTCTGTGTAGAAACTATGAATCTCCAAAAATATAATTTGAATTAACTACAAATATATTCAAATTAATGACATGATTTGCATTTTTACATCAAAATACCACATTGCACAATCATGATATTTAGGTCATTGGCCTTTATTACGCATCTGGTTGTGTTGTTCCAGAAGAGAAGCAGAGACAAAATTGTGTAAAAAAACATGAAAGTAGAGTTAAAAAAAATATTTCCCTGTTCAAAAATAAAAAAAAATGTTGCTGATTATTTTCATAGAAATTAATTCACGAGTTTGTGTCTTGTTAAGGAGTATGTTTAATCTATGCTAAAGACTGTAAAGTGCAGTTCAAACCTCATAGCTTACTAGTTGCTACTCAGATAACACTTTCAGACATCATTCTACTCTGTTACAAAAAGTAGATCCTAATATTAACTAAGCTAAGAAAATATATTTAAAAGTTATACAAATATATATCTGTCTGATAAACTAATACCATAGACTAACCAACACAAGTAGACTTCTCATCCCATTGTAAATTTTGAAGCACGTTTTTCGTGTCTAGTTCATGTACGGTGACACTGGGCGCTAGTGTCGACGAAACTTTGTTTCTATTATTTTAGGGTTAATTTCTTGATTTGTGCTTTACTGTTTGGTTATATAACTAGGGGACAAGTTATTGTTTATGATACTTTATACTTTTATACTTTCTTATGAAATGGCGACCATACTATGTAGGTATTTTAAGCCAAGTATGAATGGAGATGAGTGTCGGATGAGTGGCGCGATCTTGTAGTCTTGTTAGTGACTAAGGCCGACATTCCTTAGATTGTATTATTTGGTTAAACGAGGTTTTAAATAGCTTTAATAACGGGAAACAAATTGTAAACAAAACACAACCTCAACATAAACCGTACAGAACTAACAATAAAATTGTCTTCAGCTGTTCCATAAGGATGAGAAATCTACTAAGGGAGTATGTTTTATCTATGCTAATACAAACTTAATTTCTGCTATATATAGACTATTGTTAATTAATCAAATAAGAATGGTTGACAGTCTTGTGTTTTCATGCCAGTAGGTTGCAGAAGCCTATCGTATTGGAGCATTGTAAGCTAGCCAGCTGAGCGGAGTGATTTTAATAATCACACAACAAAATTAGAGTCGTGTATACTTTAGAGTTAAGGAAGATGTCATAATATGCTGAAGTTGCCATTGTGACTTTATAATACACGGAGCATGAAATGTTGGGATGAAATAAAACAACAAAATACATTATTAGAGCAAGAGCCCATGACTGCCAGACCTTCGTTATTTTATACAGTAAAAGCTGAAAGTTTCTCAGCAAATGCTCCCAATTCAGTTAAGAATGATCGACTATGAAATTTGGATTTTTCTACAAAAAGGTAACAAAGGTCTGAAATTTACAAATAATCTTCGTTATAGTATAGAGCTCGGTTCTTTCATATTTTCTTCAGAAGAATGTTAGAAATCATTTCCTCCATTGCCAGACACTTTGTGCGGTTTAAACCCTCTGTCAGACACCCTTAAAACTTAGGTATGACGAAGATTAATTTTCGTCATTTTATAAAAGCTGAAATTGATATATGTTACTTGGGGAGCTATCAAAAGACTTTTCTCAAAAGCCAGACCCTTTGGTTGGTTATTTTATCTTGCCAGACACTTTAAAGTCTGCCGTAATATGCTTAACTGTTACCTGCAAACAGTAGATTCAGTTCCAGTTTGAAACAGGTTTCTTTGCCAAATGTAAACGGTGAAATTACTACTTTCTTCTTCACAATCTGTTTTTATAATAAACCATATGTTTGATCTCACATATGTTATATTTGCATTTAATTGTTTGTTTATTCCTGCAGTGTTTTGGAGTCACTGTTTGTAACTACTGTACCTATTATATTACTACAGACTTTTAAAGAGTCTGGCCAGATGAAATAACCAACAAAAGTGTCTACCTCTTGAGGAAATGTCTCTTCATAGCTTCCCAAGTAACATATATCAAATTCAGCTTTTATACTATGATGTAAATTAACGCAAAATTGCGATTGGAAATAAGTTGTGATATCACCTTTTACATTTGGCACAGAAACCTGTTCTATACTGGAACTGAAGTCACTGTTTGTAACTACTATGAGAAAATATGAGAAAACCAAGCTTTATACTATAACGAAGATTATTTGCAAATTTCATACCTTTGTTACCTTTTTGTTGCCAAAGTAACCAAAATCCAAATTTCATAGTCGCCGATCATTCTTAACTGAATTGGGAGCATTTGCTGAGAAACTTTCAGATTTTATAAAATAACGAAGGTCTGGCAGTCATGGGCTCTTGGGCTACATGATTTATTTGGTTGATTTTAGAGATTATTTCTAGGTTTGTTTACTATTCGAATGTTCGAATATGCTCATTCAGATCGAGTCGGGCTCGAATACTACAGTATTCGTTCAACTATTCGAACTTTCTAATATTCGCACACCCCTACCGTATAGCACTGATTTAAGGTTTATTATGACATTCAGGCCACATTCGTAACTATTACATTGTTGTGTACAAGGGACTTCAATGACATTGTTGTAAATTGAATTTCAATTTTATTACAACTATAATCGTGATCACAGTAATATTTTGAATATCTCTTTTGGCCATGGAAACATCGTCATTGTCCTCCACAACTGCTGCAAAATCTTGGACATTTCCTGCAGTCATGTGGGCATTATCGATGACTTCCTCGATTACGGCAATGTATGAATATCTCCCGCGGTCAAAGAATCATCATTGTTTCCCTTGATTTCAGCAAAATTCATAAATTTCTCCTTGAATCACAGAAATATCATTATCGTCCGTGATTGCGGCTAAATCCTGAATATCTCCCGCAGTAACAGAGTAACTATCACCCAAGTTCCATTATCAAAACAATTAAATACTTTTATTATTTAAGATTTTTCTGGCTAAGAAAAGTCTTAAAAAGTTTGTCAGATTAATGTGAAAAAGGTTGTTAAGGAAGTGTATCATAGTTGAGTTTCTTTTATGATAGTCTAATCATAACTCTGTTAGGCTATCTGAGTTTGCTGTAGTACATTTTGTTGTTTCATGAGTTAGCTGCATATTTTTGGTTTCACTATCTATCTAAAGTAATCTTTTATTGGACTTTTATTTCAGAAACTACCAGTTTAACCTGGAGGAAGTAGAGGGGTTTCGCTACCGAGCTAAGGATGCTTGGAGAGCTGTCACAAGGATAGCTGTTAGAGAAGCTAGGCTTAAAGAAATAAAGGAAGAAATGCTCAACAATGACAAACTCAAGGTGTGTTTCTTAAGTTTCTTTTGGGTTTTAACATTTAAAAAAATGTTTTTTTCATAATTGTACCCTTAAAACATAAATATGTCCAGTTTCCATTACATCCATCGTGTAGAGCTAAAAAAGACAATCAAATTTGGTATGTTGAAGGTAAGCGCCTCTATTACGATTCATCCGTGGCAATCCGATCGGCGAATTAACCTAAGAGGCTAGGAGACAAGATAATAATTAATTTCAGTTTTTTAAAAATTACAATATTAGGGGTATGCGGGCGTAACTGTTATCTTGGTTCAGGTAAAAAGTGTTGACTTTAGGGTTTCGAACCTAAATCAGGTTGTCTCAAATCCGGATTGCCTTTGGTAAATATTGACTAGGACGGTGGCGTTGTCCTGTAATTCAGCTACTAGGAGGTGACGAATTGTGAATATAGGCATGCACTATGGACACGATTCTCCCTGGTGTGGATTATATAATGTCCTCACCAGAGAGTACTACAATGATCCGCAATGCTATTCTGATAATTAGACCAGATTCAAGATTCAATATTCAAAATAACATTATTCATTTTTCATGTGTACATAGAATGTCGTCAATTCAAAATTTTTACTTTCTCCCCCTATACCATAGTATATGGATAAAGTATTGTTTTCGTAAAAATTTTCGAGTTTGAGTTTTGAGTGGATATATTCGTTTTGGGCCCCCCTGGACCGAAAAAAGTGGTTTTCGAAGTGATGTCTGTGTGTGTGCGCGTGTGTGTGTGTGTGTGTCTGTGTGTCTGGATGTGTACAGAGCTAGAGACTACACCTGTGGTCCGATTTCGATGAAATTTGGTATGTAGCTTCAAATTCATGGTATCTCCAGGCGTTTTTTTCATTTTTTTGAAATTTTTATTTTTAATGGGGATTTTTCCATAAAAAACCGAAAAAATCGGATTTTCTTAAAAATGGGCCGAACGATTTTGATAAAAATTTAGTATGTTGTAGCCCATTAAATTCGGAATAAAATGGTACAAATCCCATTTCTGTAAAAATTACAGCTCAAAAGTTATGGTCAAATATGTTATTTTCCCATAAAAACCCCATAAAATAACAAAAAATATAATTTTAGAAAAAGATCCGGTTTTGATTTAACATAGTATGTTATGGTCCTTACAATTTTGATAGTTTTTTTAATTTTTTAGAAATTTTTATTTATAATGGGGATTTTCCTATAAAACCCCATAAAATAACGGAAAAATAGGATTTTCCCAAAAAGGCCTGAACGATTTTGATAAAAATTTAGTATGTTATAGTCCTTTATATTCTGAACAAAATTGTACAAATCCCATTTCTGTAAAAATTACGGTTCAAAAGTTATTGTAAATTATGTAATTTTCCCATAAAACCGCCATAAAATAACAGAAAAATCGGATTTTCCCAAAAATGGCCCGAACGATTTTGATAAAAATGTAGTATGTTATAGTCCTTTAAATTCTGAACAAAATTGTACAAATCCCATTTCCGTATATTTACTCTCACCGCTTACACTTGATAAATGTTGTTGACAAACTTATGGGAGAAAGTATGTGTCAGAATGCTGATACCGTTTATTAATAACTTACTACAATAATATACAAAACATTATAAGTTAATGATTTCACTGCAATATACATGAAATTAGACATGGAGATAAGTTTATAACATTACATTAATAAAAAAAACTTATCTAGAGAGTACAACGGTTTCGATAGCAGTAAGCTTTTAAGTTCTAGCGAATTTCCCATATAGGGAATAAGCTATTACCGTAGTACTCATGGTAAGACCTGGACCCGGGACCGATTCACTTTTTTGTTTTGAGGTCCCTAGAGGCCAAAAACACCATCCGTTCAATATATATATATATATATATATATATATATATATATTATATATCAGTGCTGGGAAGTAAGCTACGCTACTTTTAAGATTTTGTAGCTTTAGCTGTAGCTAGCTACATTTTTAAAGTAGTTGTAGCGGAATTTTAGCTACTTTTCTCGCACATTAACATTGATTGAGATAGTGATTTTTATCACAACCTTACAAGAAACAACCTTTTTCAAACTGAGATTTTCAAGAAAATTAGGCCTACTTTCTTGGCTTCATACAGCTGGTCACAGTCGTTTCATTACCTATTACAACGTTGTGTGGACATGGAGGCCACTATCTGAATGTTGTCTACATTTTTGGCTCTCATTTCCTTTATTTGCTACTCTATGATTACTGTCAGATAAAATAAAATCGCTAGATGCAGACGACGTTTAAACGTTACCGGTAACAAGAGAAGCTATTGAATGCTTGCAAGTGATTGACAGGGAAATTAGTAATCAATTTAGTTTCTTTATTGAATCAATTTAGTTTAAACTTGGATTTTAATGGAAACCAACACTAAACCTTAAAATAATGAGAAAGCTGGTCTATCAACCTTTGCTTCAGCTGTTGATTGTGGTTCATCATCACAAGCCCTTCCTTGGTTAGATTACAAAGATTTTTCAAAGGTTTACTAAATGAACGAAGAGGAAATTTCCTGACGAGATTTAAGATATGCCTAGAATACATAATAATTGTAACAAAAAAATCTCCATATAACATGAAACTTGCATTGAAAAAGTAGCATACAGTTGTTTGCTCCTGCTAACAGCTCTTGTCAAGGACTATTCCTAGGCTATGCTATTGGATTAATACGAATATTAAGTTCAATTAATAGGAATATATCTGTTTAGTCCTTGTAAGAACAAGCCTACTACATAGCCAACTTGTTGCAAAGCCAAGTACGCCTAAATGTTATTTTTACTTAACAATTTTCAGCATGTTTAAATTAAAAGCCGATTTTAGGATAAGTTGCTGAATACTGTTTTCTGCACCAACGTTTGTTGAAGCACAATTTGACCTATGCATAATGACAAAGGACGATTTCTTGACATAAAGAAGTGTTATTCATAGAACAAGTAACATATTACTATGGTTAAAAGTTATAGCAATGTCGTTTTTAACATTAAAAATAACGAAAGGCAATAAACTCCAATTTCTAGGCTAGGCTCTGTAACACAAAAAAGTAGTTTTAAATAATCGTTTTACAGTTTTATTGTTTTTATTAAAATGGTGTAAATACCTTCTTCGTGATAATCCTATTGTTGCTAGTGTCGCAACTAGTTTCGACTTTCTACAAAGTCATCTTCAGGCGAAGGCGTCAAGGATGTCAAATGGTGGTCACTTCATATGAAGGTCGTCGTTACACATAAAGTACATAAAAACACGAACTTGAACACGGACATTAACACGGAAAAAGGGCACATTTAACACGATTAAACGAACAACGGTAACTGTAAAGGGATGATGTGACACGACCGGGATGGATGCAAGGTCTAGACTACCGGTCAACGTGGTCGGTCGGTGCGATGACGTCACTCCTTTTGTCTTGTTATCAGTCAGCTGTTGTAGGTCCCATCCCATTCATTCCTGACTCTTTCTCTAGTACTTTGATAGCCGTATCATAAATACAATTCGATTGGAAGGAAAGCTTGTCGTTTAAGATATTTTGTCTGTCAAGTTTTACTGCTCGGTATATTTCGAATTCTTCTAGTGTGTTTCTATTAAAATGGTTGTTAGATAGATGCAGTACTGTCATGTTGTTGTCGATATTTGTATAACTAGGTGCACGCTCATTCTTCCCGTGTGTGGACGAAACGAAGGTAGTTAATAAGGCTAATAATAACTTCATAAGTTAATAAGGCTGAGCTTAATAAGGTTAGTTAAGGCGACCAGACTCCACCGTAATACTCTAGGTTGGCGCACAAAGGACTAAACTGGATCGAGCAGGCATGCATGCTCAATGCTCAAACAGTGTCTTGCACTCTTGCAGAGCAGGAGATCATTTCGAGCATGCCTGAGGCCTTGGTGCAGATGATGTGGTGAATGCTTATGGTCATAACTTAAATGAAAAGTCAACAAAACACCATGGCCTCTGTTGATTATACGTTCAGAACAGGCTGCCATATAGGAAATATTCAGTATCCAGAAAATTTGGTTTTATACTTAAATTAAACAACTTATTCTTGGTGGGATTAACATCATATTATCTTTGGACTTGGGACAAAACTTAGCTGAGAACATCATTATCAGCAAACTAAAGAAAAGGGATTTTGAAAACTGTCTTTATGTCATTAATTAATATAGAAATCAGAAAATATCTAAATTTTTGTGGATGTTTTCAAGTTAATTTAGAAAGAAATCTATATTCACCCCATAAAAGCCAGTTTACATGATCTAATCAAGACAGTTAGTAAAACTCAACCTGATGAGTGTTTATTGTATTCAACCAAATTACATTAATAGCGGAGCTTTACCTTAGTCGCATTAGAACTACATCGGAATCTCTGTATAGGAAATTTTCTCTGTATACAGTAGTAACCCTTTATCAAACAATAATATTATGATAGAGTGAGTATGATAAATAAAAAAAAAAAAAAAAACAACAATAGATCTGACAATAGTAATTGTTTTTTTAGCTTTAAAAAATCTTCAGCTAGAATGTGGAATTTTTAAGTTTTCAAAGTAAAAAATACAAAAATAAAATATATTTGCCCCATAACCCCTAAGAAAGCCTGTTCTCATCATCTGGCTAGGAAGCTTTCACTTTTCATGCTAGATAAGTTCACTCTTTTACATCCAGTCATATCATCAGAGTTACATCCAGAGTTTCATCAACAGTTTAGCCACTTTTGATCTAATCCCAGGATGATAATTTTACCCATAGCATCGAGGAATTAAAGACACAATATATTACTTTGTTTGTTTTTAAAGCTCTTTTTAACACATCCACTAAACCCATTGGATTTTGAAGTTAAATCTCATACAATCCCCTGTGAAAGCATCCTCTCATGGTCCAGCTAGGATGCTTTGTGTAACATTATATATGTGTTCACTCTCTTATATACAATCATATCAAAAGTGGGGGTTTATCGATCATATCAAAAGTGGGGGTTTATCAAC